ATTCTTCACTTCTTCTGATTAAAGTCATTTTAATTATCAAGACAAACAATCTTTTCTAGCTGATTGCTGAATAGCGTGATACTAAACAGACGTATCACTGATGATCGATAGATCATATCCCATTGCTGTCTGATGGTAAATTTTTTTTTATGATCAATAACAGCTATGACTATTTTAATTTCCGCTATCATGTCTGCATTTTATTTAATCGGCTCATTATCTGATGTGATACATGAATGTTCTAAAGACATTTAATATTCATCATTAGCGAATGTACATTAATTGGGTCTCAGACTGACAGGTGGATGATTACCAGACGATTTCATTTTTATGGTAATTTGGGTCATGGAATTTGTCATTGAGTCGAAGCCATTGTTACAAACGGATAGATATATTCAAATGAATTATGTTTTTTTCAAATGAAAGCCTTCCGTCTGGACAATAATTTATATCGACTGTCCTTTTCTCTTTTGATCAACCATCTATCACTCCTTTATCTCATTATTTGACTTCACTAACAAAAGACACCTTGATTTTATTAATTTTTTTAATAATCCAACATTGAGAGATACACGTAAATAGAAATGTGCTCAAAATTTGGTCGTCATTTCTTGTTTGATACTTTAACGATATGAATCGAAGTGTGATGAAAACCATCATTGTGACGACACATTGAATTGCATTGAATAATGACGATATTGATATTTAAAACAAGAATCGTACTAAAATATCCAGAAGAAAACAGAGAAATTTTCATCTTTTAACAAATTTATTTTCAAGCAAACATTTTTGATAGTTTCAAATCACTTTGCCCCGTTGACAGAACAATCAAAATTGACTTTCTGCAAGAGAAAATGAAACCGAACGGTGTACAATTGTCAGTCTTCTATTGAATTAAAATCGTACATTACAAGTTAGATTTTCTTTGCTTCTATTTGTTACATATTGCACTGATAATCGTACATTTCCAAACGCCGACTTTCCCATACATTCCAAGCAGAAACAACAATAAATAGTTTGTCTTTTATCAAAAAGAAAAAAAAGAAACTACTTTCATTAACTTTGAAAAACAAACAGATTACTGGAAGCGTTTCTGTAAACAGTGTTATTTTATAGAGAAAATTAGGACGAAGGATAACCTAGATATCAGACGATTGTACATTCGTAGTTAAATCTTTGAAATATTGACAATTTTTTTTTCCAAATTAAAGAGACTACCAATCATCTCTCTTTCGTCTTATAATTCTTTTTTCTCTGATGAAAATGAGATTTCCACCAACCAGCTTATTTAAAGAAATAATTCTGATTGGTCATTCTCATATCTATTTTTCTTTTTCCTCTCTCTCTCTCTCTCTCTCTCTCTTTCTCTCTCTATTCTCTCCATTATAAGTATAAAAGTCAATGACTCTGAAGCAATGTTATCATTTCTCACTTAATCACTTTTTTCCGATCATCATCTACATTTAATCACTTGCGTGACTCTCCTCATTGCACCCTAGTATGTATGTTTTCAACTTTTATTGTCACTTTTTATGGTTTAACATCCTTGCTTACTCTATTCCTGCAATACATCTTTTTCATGGCAACCATGCAACCGTCAATGACGTCAACAAAGAATTGCATACACCATTACGTTCGCGACATCGTCGAGGGTCATTTACTTTATTTAATCCGTTTAGTGAAGTTAATGCACCCGAATATATTGCACGGGATCAAGGAACATTCATCATGAGCGATACCAATGCTCGTCGACATCTTTCAACAGGTAGTTGGTTAGGACTTGTAAAAAATCAAACAGGCCGTGTCATTGAAGGTGCTACAGATCTTGTACTTACACCAGTTCATTGGCTTGCACATATGCGCGAGTACTGGTAAGTCTGTTCAATTTTGATTTTTTTTCTCCCTTCTACTCTCATCTCATTATCCTACAACATATAGATACGGATAGAGTAATTGAAGAGAACAATAAATATACTTGATTTTTTTTTTCAAAATTAAACCGAAATTGTTCAAAAAACGCCTATATTGCAGTTATTATTTTTTCTTCTCACTCGATTTTTTCTTTTATTTCTTGTAGGCCTTTGTATGTGATTTGTGCTACAATCATCTTGAGCTTGATTACTTTTCTTTATTGTTCATGTCAAAGTTGGCTCGGAAATCTCACGATGAAACATAACTATAAACACATGACACTCATGCGGATGATTCAACAGCAACAACAACAACAACAACAAGAAAAAGAAAATTCATCAATACCCTATACATATTAAACAGCAAGTGTTTCACATCTAGTTGTAGATGCACCTTTGTGTCACTATCTCTCTCTCTATTCTCTGTTTCGTATTGTTTATCTTGGTATTGTCATTCATCTTTTTCCTTCTTCATTCTAGTTTCATGATGAGTATTATTCTAATAACGCTTCACATTTATCTTTTGTTCGTTGTAATGCCTATCTTATTGTCTCATTTCAGATATACAGACATATACATATATAGGTCTATCTGCTTCTCCTGTTTATTCACTCGGAACATGACACAACGTACTCAAGCGGCTGGTGGATTCCTATCTCCTGTTGTGTTGACTCATATCAATCGCGAGTATCATAATCGATATGATATACAAAACAAGTATCATTACGATATCGATCTTCACGTGAATTCATCAAAAACACAAATATTATCCATGACTGGTTCCAATAATAAAGGATTATTATTGAATGATGCTCGATTTAATGTCACCAATATCTTTAATCGGCCTATCTTTTTAAATTTGAATCCATACTCTATATTTATCTATATCATTGTAGTCATCCTTTTATTCGCGATATCCATTATGATTCTTATATTCATGTATTATCGACGTCGAAGACAACAATCAAAACGAGAACAACACCTCTCTTTAAAGGATGTACACGCACGTTTCAAAAATCCAGCACAATTACTAATTCATCAACCAGATCTTAAAAGTAAGACAATAGGCCAAAACGTGAGAATCTATGTTTCTTTCTCGAGTTTATGAAAACTTTTCTAGATAAAGCAGCTCTATTCTCCGCTACCAAAACACTGAAGAATAATCATATTCACCATCGTACACCACAGCTTCAGCAACACCGTAAATGGAATATAAATAAAGTATTGGAACAAGGATCAAATCTATCCGTGGAAAATCTGTCAGGGAAAGATGATTCGGTAAGAGTCGCATTAAAAAAAAAACATGTTTCGCTCCTTTTCTACTTAATTCTATAATGCATTTAGTCATCTATCCACAAACAACGATTTGATATTCAACAGAGTAATACATCGATGCAAATTTTTCCCGAACTGGACAATAACATCAATTAAATTAGAACCTATCACGAATTATGTTTTTTTCCTTTTCTTTTTTCTACGAGCGAGAGACACAAGAAAAGTAATACACTTGTAATTATTGTCTTCTTTAAACATACTGTTCTATCATTTTCTTTGGCTTACTAGTGCACCGATTTCCTGAAACTTACACTTCTATCGGTAATTCAATCTTTCGAGAAAGTTTAAAATTTTGAAAGTTTTTTTTCTCTCATGTACACAATGTTTAGTTGTTCGCCTTTTTCTTCTGTCTCTTTTGTTCTTGTAGATATTGCATCAAATAACATATCATGTTTGTTACATGGTGGCAGACAACAACAAAATCTTCGACACCTTTAGTCATTCATCTTCCAAGGATTCACCAGAAATTATCAACCACATCTTCATTCGCTGCTGTTACCAGTACTTTATCAACATATTCATCGGCTCCTTTGAGAGATACACTGGTCGATCACACACGTCAAATCATTGTCAATGCGTCAACAGCACATGGAGTTCAAGATCATCATAAAAATACCGCGAGCCTATTCGTCCATTTTCTTGCTAATATCATTAAGAATAGTCCATACGATTATATTCTGGTTCTTTTCATCTTCATGGCATTTCTTTTCCTTGCTACCTGTATGCTAATTATATTAATGAAAATCTCGATATATTATCGTTTAAGTGCATTAATTCAGGGTAAGTTCATTTTGTTTTTAAAATTGCCCACATAAATAACAGAAGGGAGAAAAAAAACAACTTATCGTTGCAAAATTACTAGGAATCCAACGGCCATGTCTTACATTCAATCATTTGCGAACAAATATAACAACTGAACCTAACTCGAAGAAAAACAATCATAAAAAGAAAAAAGAAAACGTACGTTCACACATAGATCACTTGAAAAGAAATGTCCATTGAATTGCTTCGTGATGTTTCCTTTTGTTTTTGTATGCTTTCATAATTTTAGATGCGCAATTCATTTGATCCTTTAATTATCGATCTATCTCATACAAATAACAAAGAAGATATTCACCATTCAAAGAAGGTTTCTAGTTTCACCGATCGCCGATTATCATGGCCTTACTCCTTTCTTTCTTCAAGACGGGCTGATACTGAATTTGTCTAAAAATGAAACTTCTGCTTAACAAACAATGCATAGATGAAATCACTGTCGTCTTTTTTCAACATATCTACCATTGGTTCTTCGTTTAGCCTCCTGTCTTTTTACTCTGTACAGTTTTCCGTAGAAATAGATTTCAAAAAAATAAATAAATAAATAACCTTTTACCGTTTTGAACGGTTATACACTTTTTCTTCGTTTGTTTGTTGTTTTTTATTCTATTGAATCATTTTCAGATTTCTTTGTTACTTATGGAACAATATTCCGCTTTTATTACGAACAATTCAAACGTTCGCCTGCGTTATTTCTTCCAAAATGGAAGCCATTTATACACAGTTGCGTCATGGGCGAACCAGTTAGAAAAGAATACATTTTTTGAAATGGCAAACAAGTCAAAAATGTACCTCCATCATAATAATGTCAAACCAATTTCTGTCAACTGTACTGTAGCACCCTATGCTGAGGGCTGTATTTACCATAACAAGACCTTCACAACAAGCAATCAAACACAATTAATTGCTGCTAATTCACAGAATACGTTAATGAAATTTATCAATACACTTCTCATACGCTTCATGGGTGGATACGGACAATATATCATCATTATTCTCCTGTTGGTGCTCACTTTAGTCATGATACTCTTCTTTGGCATACGAATATATCGGTGTGGTAAACGAAAGCAATCTCCAACAGTTTCAACTTTTGCTTGTAAGTTTGTTATAGTTCTTATGTTTGTTTTTCGAAGGGAAAAAGGATATTGTCATTGATCTAGATGAAATGTCCGCACTTCAAATGAGACATTATCTTGATGAGACCGTTGACGAGAGCGAAGAAACAAGCGTCACATTGGCTGTTCCTAAAACGACGGCAACTAAATATGTAAGTTACTGTTAAGTACTGAGTCTGCATAAAACTATTTTAATATTGTAGATCGTTCCAACATATTCGAACTATGATTATCCTCCAGAGCATGGTATTCAATGTTCAACTTATGTATGACATATATGTACAAATATTGTAAATTCTTGTAGTTTTTGTAATATTCAATATTGTTCCCTATTATTAATATAATATTCAGTCTCTTTTAAAAATTCATTTTTCTTTAGTTTGTTTTTTCTTATTGTTGATGATAATTTTTCTTTGTAACTAATTTTCTAGATATATTTCAATAAACATGTTGTTTTATACGTCTATAGGTTAGAATAGTCGCTGTAAGCGATCACATCATATTTTGAAAGAAATCAGTGACAACTATCGACACGAGATTATATGTACTAATTAAACAATGATTGCATTTGTCCCCGATTCAAATTTTTTCATCGTTTCCACTGTGTTGCAATGACTGTCGGTAAAAACAAAAAAGTATGTATATCCGCATCATTGACTAGAGCACGAGTTGTTACGTTTTGTTTTTTAAATATCCACCTAGATTTCAACATGTTTTGCAACAAACAACATCCCGTCACAGTAATATCATATGAGCGATGGAAAAATCTTTCTTGTAATATTCAGGCTGTTCTTTCGAAGATAAAATAGCTGTGTGATTTGTGACACACAAAACTTGCTTGGTACTATTTTCCAATTTGATTTTTTTTTTTTTTTATTATTCTATATACTCTGCTAATACATATACAAATCTCAGACGTGTTCACCTTTCTCGTCATCATAGACACTTTTCTTAACGATGACATTTGTTTTCTTTGTCTATTGTAGATAAAAATGAATCCTGTACAACAATCTGATTTGGTTTCTGTCAAACAAAACAATTTTATGGTGATAGCTGATGGAAATTTGGATAATAGTCATGTTGATATTCAAACATTTCATCATTCCAATGAAAAGTCTTATCAGACAGAAGCATATGATCCCAAGATCACCAACTATGAAAGAAACGATTTTACGAAGCAAGATGATGATTTTGTGGACTATCTTATAGATGATCCAGTGGTGGGTGACTTCTGAATAGATTAGACAAGAATGAAAAAGACATGGACAATTTCTGTGAGCATAATAAACATTAAACTATCTTGCAAACTTCCACACATTTTTTTTTATGCATCTTAGATGCGATGACATGTACAGATTTGTCTATGTTTGTTTTGTCATTTTGTCTTTCTTTTTTCTTGCACTTGTATTACTTTTTTTTGCGTCTGAATGCTATAATTACGGATATCGTACTGTACTCGTATAAGTTGTATTTCATGTTTGCTTTTTTTGTCTAGTTTTCTTTCAGATTCTATTGTCTACTGTCATCGGAAGAAAACAAGCTGATAATTTTTATCCAACATTTACCTATGACGCCGTACTACTTTTTTAAAAATGATAGTCATCTATATGTAGTCCACAAACCTGCGCCTAATGCACCGACAGCCGACGAAATAATGAACGATCAATTGGGTCAATTGTACATTCATACAATGAAAATT